TTCTTTCTTTCTTTCTTTCTTTCTTTCTTTCTTTCTTTCTTTCTTTCTTTCATGTATGTATGTATGTATGTATGTATGTATGTATGTATGTATGTATGTATGTATGTATGTATGTATGTATGTATGTAACTTATCTGCTGCCTATATTGTCAGAGTCTTTTGTGGCTTCACATTAGGTAGCTTCTGAAATAGGAAATATTTTGGAATCTGAAAGAGAGGTTAATGAAACTTGTGGTTCTCTTATGTATTTTCTGTTTCAGATTACTCTGCTTTTTTGCCTTTTGTTTTACTGATTTGGGAGAGATTTTCCTCCATTTCCATTATAGTTGGCTGGAGTGGTCTCTTGCCTGCCCTTCATCTGATGGACTACTATAAGACTGACGCTGTGAAAGCTATTGAGACCATTCTCCCCAATACATAGCAACGGGCCGTCTGAATGTTGACAGCACCAACGGCAGCAGTCAAGATAGTCTACAGCAGAGGTTGTCAACCTTCGGTCCGCAGCCTGGTGCCGGTCCATGGCCTGAGCCAGACCGGGCTGTGGAAACAGGCCCGCCCCCCCTGCACACACTCCGCTCCCCACAGCTGCTTTGTGCACACACGTGCGTGCCAGCACCAGCTTGAGCACCCACGTGAAGGGGTGGGCGGGCGAGGGCGTGCAAGAGCTCATGCGCAAAGGGGTGGGGGAGCGCACACACTGGCACGCATGTGCACGCTCCCCCACTACTTTTATGCATCCACCCAAGAGCATGCCCGCGGGTGGGTGCCCCGCCTTCCTCAGACGCCGAGGTGGTCCGCGGTCCCTAAAAGGTTGGGGGGCGCTGGTCTACAGGATGACCTCTTATGCTCCCTACTGTTCTCTAGGCAAGAGAAAATCCCATAATCTGACTTTTTTTTAATCAGTTAGCCACTGTAGACCATATTGGCTGCTGTCCTTAGTTTTGAAAACATTCAGGTTGCCCTTTGCTTTGTAAAGCTTGGCATCCTATTTTCTAAAAGAAGTCCTCTCACCTTTTGAAATAAAAAAGGGGGAGGGGTCAGAGTTAGCAAAGATTGTCACTGGAAACGAAGGTCAAAATAATCCATATTTTGTAAAAGAAAGACAGTGAAGGAAAAATGTGTAGGAGGAGAGCCTTATAGATACCACAGACCACCGAAAAGGCAGAAAAGAGGGCACTCAATCAAGTCAAGCCTGAACTCTCACTAAAGCAAAAAATGAGTAAATTGGTGCAAGGCACCTTCGTGCTTTCAATAGTATGTTTTCTCATAGAGCTGTAAGAGACCACTGAGGCCATCCAGTCCAAACCCCTCCCCCCCACCATGCAGGAACATCCATCAAAGTACTCCCGACAGATGGCCATCCATCTTCTCCTTAAAAACCTCCAAAGAAGGAGACTCCCACCACCCTTCAAGGCAGACTATTCCACTGCCAGACAGCTCTGACCATCCGGAAGTTCTTCCTAATATCCAGATGGAATCTCTTTTCTTGTAATTTGAAACCATTGTTCTGTGTCTTAGTCGTGGAGCCCTGGAAAACAGACCTGCCCCCTCTTCAACCTTTCAAATATTTAAACATGGCTATCATGTCCCATCTCCTTTTTGTAAGACTAAAAATTCTCCAGAGAAAACCTAATCAGGTATTTGACTTTTACTTCCCTGGGGGAAATACTTCCTGGAGTGTAGTGATGTTCCAGAGCAAATGAAGGGAACCATTGGCCTTCCAGTGTTGTTGGACCACAACACTCATAATCCCTTGCCCATGCTGGAGCTTCTGGGAGTGGATGTCTAAAAAACGTGGAGAGCTACCAGCACAGAAAGGCGCTGAAGGCAGGGATAAGCAAAGTGTGGCCATCCAGATGTAGAACGGCGATGTGCATCGGGCTAAGGGCCCAAATCAAGTACTGCTGGGATTTGCAGTCCAGCAACAACTGGATGGCTGCACTTTGTCCACCTCTAATCTATGCCTTTTCCTGGAGGAAAAAGAAATCCCGCTGATGACCATAGCTAAAGGGGTTTGCTATCGAGTCCCAGCCATCTGTTGTTTTCCGGTGCCAAACTACCAGAATCCTTACATCTGGCAGGAAAGACTGGAATCCTAGACCAAATATTCCTTACATGCTGCTTTGGCTTTACCCTGAACAGGTGATGTGATAAATATTCCTTACTTACAGCTTTGGCTTTACCCTGAACAGGTGATGTGTAATGCTTTGCCTGTTTTATTTATCTTAGAAGAAATACAAAGTGGAGATGGAGATTGAGAACTGGGTACAGAAGTATGACATGGAGATGCTGGAAAAGCAGGTATTGTTCTTCTGGAAGACATTCAGTGTGGGGCTCCTTCTGACTGATCAGTTTTGCCCTTAAGAGGTTGACCTAGCAAAATCTCTGTCTCTCATGGAAGATGGCTCTTCCCTCCATGTAGGTAGCGCTCAATTGTCATTTCCTACCTCCAGCATTGCCTTCAAAAGCAAGCTGCCCTTTTTGCTCTCCTACCAAATTGGCTTTCAGCCTGGCTCAGTCACCCATCTCATCCTGCCCAATGTTTTACTGCACATCAGATGCAGCCTACAGCATGACAACCAGATATGTACTGCCACTCTTCGGCATTAGATAAATTCATGTTGGTTGTGGGATTCTGGGAGCTGTAAGGTAAAGGTAAAGGTTCCCCTTGACAATTTTTGTCCAGTCGTGTTCGACTCTAGGGAGCGGTGCTCATCCCCGTTTCCAAGCCATAGAGCCAGCGTTTTGTCCGAAGACAATTTTCTGTGGTCACATGGCCAGTGCGACTTAGACACGGAACGCTAGTAGCTGTAGTCCCTTGGAAAGTATTTCCTCACTTTGTTGCTTTAACCCTCTGCTTGGGGGCTTCCTACAAACAGCTGCTGGGCTGCTGTGGGAAGCAGGATGTGGGGAACACATACACCTTTGGCCTAGCCCAACAGGGCGCTTCTTTGGGTCCTGACCTCCTTTTCTTCAGCCCTGGGTTGTGACGCAGACACCACAGGACCCTCCAAAGGCCCTTGGCCAGATTAGGTCATGGGTCTGTTTTAAGTCAGGGAATGAGAAAAGGGCTTGCCTTTCAAATGGACAATCTTCCCTAGTTGTTGAGTTAGCCTTTTCTTAGCTGATGGCTTGCAGGGAGATCAAATTCTGGGTTAAAGGGGCCTCCAGATGTGCTAGTGCTGAGGGTCAAAGGGTGGCCCTTCAGAGCTTGCTGGACTGCAGCTGCCAGTATTTTTCTTCCTTGGATGTGCTGAGCCCATCCATGGGTGGGTCCCATGTCTTCTACCTCTGCTTTCACCTTACCAATATCACAGCCTTTCTCAATCTGGTGCCCTCCAAAGTGCTGGACTACAAATTCCATCATCTCCAGCCAACACAGTTGATGCACCGAATTGGAGAAGGCTGGCCTGCCACATGGGCAGTAGCAAAAGAAATGTCCAGTATCAAAAATAATTCAAAATTTTTTGAGTGTTCAAAGTGTTTTGCAGACCCCTTCCCAAGGTAGTCCTTGCACCACAGTTGGCATTATTAAATACAGATGGGATACATGATATGCCTTCTCCTACCTCCGGGGTGGGGAACAGGCAGCCTTTGATTCTGCTAGCTAGGAGCCGGGGAGACTAGCAGTCCAACATCATCCAGAGAGCAGTTGATTGCCCAACCCAGCTGTAGAGGCTGCAGAATGCCAGTACTTCAGGCCCTATTCCATTCTTAACGCCCAGATTTTGCTCCTTCTACAGGAGGAGATCGAAGAGATTGAGGCAGCCTACATGGTGGAGAAGGAGCAGCTGGAGGAGCTGAGGGAGAAGTTTGCCCTGCTAGATCAAGAATACAGCCAGATCAAAGAGGAGAGGAGGGTGAAGCAGGAGCAGAAGGAAAAAGCCGAGAAGGAGCTGGCCATCTTGGTCCGAGCCGCCACTCTCATCCAGGCCATGTGGAAGGGCTACCTGGTGAGGTCGCTCTTGCGGACCAAAAGGAAGAAGAAGGGCAAAGGGAAGAAGGGGGCCAGGAGGTGAGCCTCCGCCTGTTCTGGGGTCTTCGATGCCAATGGCTGAGCCTCACTTTGATCATCTGAGAAAGTCATGTCAGGCTCCCAGTAAACGTTTCATCACTTTTATGTTTAATAAAACATTTTCTCTCTTTCTCTGTTTGTGTGGAGAAGATGTGAGTAAGGAATCTTTTTTGGCCCACTGGTCCTGGCCAGGAATCTGAAGACGTGTGTGTGTGTGGGGGGGAATGATAGAGTGTAAGCAACATGCAAGATAGAACCTGACCCTCCTCTCTAGGAATACCTTTCAATTATTTGAAAAGTGCTATCCTATCTCCCCCCAGTCTTCTTTTCTGAAGGCTAAATATGTCTAGAAGACCTCAGTAGGAGTTGAAGGTTTGGTTCTGCTTGTGATATTTTACTGGTTTAATAAAAGTATCACTCACCTTTGTCTTCAGATTGGGTAGAAATACCACACAGCTTTTTAAAAATGGAATACAACTTGATTCCTGTCTCCTTGTAAAACCAGACTCATCAGCCAGCCTGATCGGAGACAATCTCTCATGTCATTGCTTCTTGTTATATTTCTAGTTCTTCCCTAAAGGGGGGAAAAAAACTGAAACACTCGCTTTGATATTTGCCTAAATATTTTGTTTTATGGCAAATATATACATAATTTTTGAATAACACATTTGCTAGTGTCCTTTTGCCCAACGTTTTCCTGCTGAACTGCTTTAGGGCCACAGTCATCCCAGTCTCCTCCACGCTTCGGTGACACCACACCCAGCACACTTCACACACCAATATAAAAATGCTGAAGATTGCTACTTCCATCTGGACCATCAGCAGAGGTTCCATCATCATCATTATCTTAGAACTTCAGAGCTAGAAGATCATTGAGTCCAAGGAGGCCCAGTGGGGTTATTATCTTAGAACTTCAGAACTAGAAGATCATCGAGTCCAAGGAGACCCAGTGGGAAATAGGAATCCCACCCTCTGCAGCCAGATATGCCTAAACCATTCAGCAGGCAAAGAGAATTCAGGCAGAGATGGAATCAAAAACACCCACAGCTTCCCCAGACAACATTGGACCCTTTGCTGACATTTCATTAGCACCTTACTTTTGTATAGTTTATTTCCAGGGAGGCCTCGATTTACCAGCGTTTGCTGCTCTCGTCATCCTGGCTGACAATGACCCAGACAAACCCTTGGTAGAGTGTTCAGATGGAGACCCCCTGGAGGATGCTGGAAAAAGCTGTTCCTTGGGCTTGCTTGTTCTCGGCTTCCCAGCAGATGACGGAAGCCGATCCGAGGCACCATCTAGCCTGGTAAGGGACTGAGACCGCAGCCTCCTTGAGACGTCCTGGTTGACTCCGTCAGAGCAGCTCTTGGGTTGTTTCCGAAAAGCATGTTCTCCGTACCGCGCTCCGGATCCTTCCTGTCCCTGTGAGCGAGGCGTATCCCGATGAACGGCTCTCAGCGGCGCCTCCTTTGGGTGAGAGGAAAGGACCGGAGGGTCTCTGGGGGCAGAAGGCGGAGTCCAAAGCAAAGGGCGGAGCTTGGCCACCTCACACCTGGCCGTCCAGGAAGCTGCCCATTCTTGTCCCCCTGGTTTGGGTCCAAAGAGGGTCTCATCACAATAGGACGGGGTGTGGTTTTTCAGTCTTGATTAAGAAACAAAAGGGAGGAAGAGAGTAAGTGGCTTTCGGACCAAAATAAATCAGAGTAGATATGATCTGCTCTGATAAGAACTTTTCAAAACATGTAATACACAAGCAAGACAGTACACACAAGGTAGAAATGCACAACATAGAGATTAATACAGTGGTGCCTCGCTTGACGAGGATAATCCGTTCCAGTGAAATCGCTGTAGAGCGAAATCCTCGTCAAGCAAAATAAAAAAGCCCTTTGAACCGCATTGAAAATCACTTAATGCGTTCCAATGGACTAAATACCTCAGCATCCAGCAAAGATCCTCCGTAGGGCGGCCATTTTCCGATGCCTATGCAGCGAAAAATCCATCCTAAAGCACAGCGGGGAGCCATTTTACACAGCGGGTGGCCATTTTGAAACCCGACGATCAGCTGTTTTGATCGTCGTAATGTGAAGAATTGGTTCCCGAAGCAGGGAACCGATCGTCAGGAAGCGAATTAACGAGGTAATCATCGTTTTGCGATCGCTAAAACCTCATCATCAAGCGGATTTGTCGTTTAACGAGGTAATCATTAAGCAAGGCACCACTGTATAAGAACATTTGCATGGCTTATCAGATAAGTTATTCAAGGGAAGGCTTGAATAAACAGGGATTTTTAAAACATGTATCTAAAGCTAAACACTGAAGAAACGTGTCAAATCTCTGAGGAAAGGCCATGCCACAACACTCACCAGCGCAAAAGGGCCTCAGAACACCAGAGAGGACAGCGCAGAGATGGGCCGCTTGCCTTGCGTGAGACAAGAAAATACACATTGGCTTTCCTCCCGGTGTCCTCCTCTCTCAGCCCTCTTTTCCCTTTATGAGACAAGAAAATACACATTGACTTTCCTCCCGGTGTTCTTTCAACCCCATTAGTCCTCCTCTCTCAGCCCTCTTTTCCCTTTGCCCCTTGCCACCGTCCTCCTTCTTTCGCCCCTTCCATGCTGGGACATGTTCAGCCACTCTTAGCTTCACCCCTTTTCTGCCTTTCTCTCTTTCCCTCTGTTCTTTCTCCTCCCCGTTAACTCTCTTTGGCTTTCTTTTCCATTGTTCCTTCTCTCCCTCCAGGAGGGTTCTCCCTGTGCTTTCGATCCCCAAGCTTTTTCGAACCGAGGACTGGTTTAGCATGCCCGGGGGGAGGGATCCATGCATGGGTAGGCGGGGGCACCCGTGTGCTGTTGGGTGGGGCCACACGTGAATGTGTGGGTGGGTAGGCGGCGCATCCGTGCGTGCATGTGTCCGTGCGTGAGCAGGGCGTGTGTGCATCCATGTATGGGGGTGCATGCATGCGCGGGGGGCATGTGTGTGGGGGGAGATCTGTCCCTGCAGACCAGGGGTCAGGGACCCCGGCTGTAGGGTAAAACGACAGGCACGCCACCTAATGGCTGAAGTTTGTATTGGCAACCAAGGATCAATTTTAATGAAGTTGTTGTAAGTTTTTTTCCTTTTCAGGAGATTGGGTGATTACTGTAGTCAGGGTATTTTTTGTTGTGGCTGTATTGTTGTGATGGGGGGGGTCTGTCACTGCAATCGATGGATGTCGTTAGCTGCTCTTTTGTGTGTAGTGATGTTGTAAGTTTTTTTCCTTTTCAGGTGATTGGGTGATTACTGTAGTCAGGGTATTTTTTGTTATGGCTGTATTGTTGTGATAAGGGGGGGGGGAATGGTCTGTCACTGCGATTGATGGATGTCGTTAGCTGGTCTTTTGTGTGTAGTGATCACCAGATCTTGTGGCTGGGTAGCGTTCTCTGACCTTTTTGCAGGCTGTTTATTTCAGTGGTGGGAGCCAGGCTTTGTTGAACAAAAAGCTGTAGTCAGGGTATTTTTTGTTATGGCTGTATTGTTGTGATAAGGGGGGGGGGAATGGTCTGTCACTGCGATTGATGGATGTCGTTAGCTGGTCTTTTGTGTGTAGTGATCACCAGATCTTGTGGCTGGGTAGCGTTCTCTGACCTTTTTGCAGGCTGTTTATTTCAGTGGTGGGAGCCAGGCTTTGTTGAACAAAAAGCTGATCCCACAGCTACAAATACCTAACCACTCACTACACCAGAACACAGACAGAGTTCTAGCTGCTGTCCTCTGAAGATGCCGGCCACAGAGACTGGCAAAACGTTAGGAAGAAAAACCTCCAAAACACGGCCAAACAGCCCCAAAAAAACCTACAACAACCACTGGATCTTGGCCATAAAAGCCTTCGATAATGCAATTTTAATGAAGTTAAATGCATTTTAAAAACAAAAAGGCTCATCCTCAGAGTTCACTAAGTAGCTATTCCACATTTCAAGGGTCTATATCTCATGGAGCTACACTGAAGATAGGAGTGTGTGTTTGTATGGGTTCACACATTCTTAATAGAAAATAATAAATAGTGACTGTATGGACTTGATGCATAAAGACAAATAATTTAGGGAAATTTGCAGCTAGCTCCACTGTGAAGGTTTGAGTCAAATGTATATTCAAACACTACCTTAAGTGAAGTGTCGCTCTTGGGGCAAAGTCTCTTCAGCAGAACAGATCACAAACACAATCACTCAGTTTTTAGTTTTTCTTTGGGAGTGGGTGGGATGGGTGCTATCAAGTCAGTTCTGACTTAGGGTGACCTTTTACAGGGTTTTCTAGCTAGAGAGCGCTCAGATGTTGTTTTCCATTCCCTTCCTCTAGGGGGCACCCATACTGTGCAGCTTGCCCAAGGCCAGTGGGGGAATCGAACTCACAACCTCTTGCTATGCAGTCAGAGACCTAAACCACTGAGCTACCCACCTAACTAATCACTCAGTTACTGCTAGTGATTTTAATGCAACATTTTACTATACTATTGCTATTTAATGGTTTATTTTATTTTATCTTGCGGGTTTTCAGACTGCAGTCTCATAAACTACTTTGGAAGCTTTGGGGTTCATTTGTTTTTACATTTATTTCCTGTTTTGTCTCCAGCGAGTTAAAATAAATGTTTCTTCTCCCCAGTTAACACTCATAGTAACCCTGTGAAATAGATTAGACTGAGAGCAAGAGACAAAGAGAGACTAACTGGCCCATGTTTGTACAAATCATAGAATCCTAGAACAATGGAGTGGAAGGGACCTTTGAGGCCATCCAGTCCATCCTCAAGGCAGAAATTCAGATCAAAGCAGATCTGACAGAGGGTGTCCCAATTTTCTCTAAAATGACTTGAAAGAAAGAGTTTCTTGGCTGGACGTGAATGGAATCTATCAGGTGCCAGTCCACTAATAAAACTACAATGGTGCCTCGCTTAACGACGTTAATTCGTTCCAGCGAAATCGCTGTAGAGTGAAAATGTCGTAGCGCGAAAATAAAAAACCCATTGAAACGCATTAAAACCTGGTTAATGCGTTCCACTGGGCTAAAAACTCATGAAGATCCTCCATCCGGCGGCCATTTTCGGTGCCTGTATAGTGAGGAATCCGTCCCTAAGCACAGCAGGGAGTCATTTTGAGCACCTGGCGGCCATTTTGAAAACCCAACGATCAGCTGTTTTGATCGTCGTAATGCGAAGAATCAGTTCCCGAAACAGAGAACTGATCTTCGCAAAGCAAAAAAACCCCATTTAAAACACCATTTTGCGATCATAAAAAATAATCGTGAAGCGGATTCATCGTAATGCTGGGTAATTGTTAAGCGAGGCACGACTGTACTGCACCACAGGGGAACAGTGGTACAGAAATGCCTTAATTAATAAAGGAAGCCACCTCTCTTAGCCAGACAATCTCCCTACTGTTGGCAAATGAGCTTTCCTCCACCCACACTCCCGTACCTGTATTTGTTTCTCTTTCGTGGAGTGGTAGCCAGTGAAGAGGTTTTTGAAGAGTTGCTCTCTGGGCTCCAAAGCAAGGGTTTTGGAGCCCTGGCTTTATTATCCACCCACGGTGGATCGAACTCGGTTCCGACGGTCCGGTGCCCAGCCGGGCTGCCGAAGAGCGACTCATCCACGTAGGAGGCTTTGGCCTTGGTCCGGGAGCCTCTTCCCTTCCGCGGCGGCTGGGGAGTCTCGCTTCCCGACCCCGCTGAGGTCTTCATGGATCCGACCGAGGCACGCCGCGACAGAAAGGGCCATCCACCTCGGCAGGCAACCGACGAGTCGGGATCGTGATCTGCACAAACAAGTGTCAAGCTGACGCAGCAGCAGGGGTCCAGAAAAGGGGTCCAGGTGGGGCTGTGGGGTGGGAGAGGTCAAGCATCTCCCTGCACGATCAGGCTAGGATGGATTGAGTCCCCATTGCCCAGAAAGAGCAATCAAATCCATTGGAGCAACTCGGGGTCAATCCAAACTGTTGTAGCAACTAACAATTTAACCCCAACCAAAGGGATCACACAAGAGCATAAGAAAAAAAAAAGAAATGAATGAAAGATGAATGTTTCATTCAAAAAAGAAAAAGAAACAAAAGATCAAGAATACCACATTACTCCGGCATTCTAAGAGGAACTAAAGTTGCCATAAATTCCATACTTATTTACACTGGAGTAAGTCCCACTCTGAACAACATGGGAATGAATGTACTTCTATGTAAATATTAATACAGTGGTGCCTCGCTAGACAGTTACCCCGCATGACCGTTTTTTCGCTAGACATTGACTTTTTGCGATCGCTATAGCGATTCGCAAAACAGTGATTCCTATGGGGGAATTTCACTGGACAATGTTTGGTCCCTGCTTCGCAAACCGATTTTCACTAGACAACTATTTTGACAGCTCCCTCCGCACTCACAAAACAGGTGTTTTCAGGACCTAAGCTTCGCAAGACAGCGATTTAAACAGCTGATCGGCGGTTTGCAAAGCGGCTTTCCTATGGCCGATCTTCGCTAGACAGGGACGATTCTTCCCCATTGGAACGCATGAAACAGGTTTCAATGCATTCCAATGGGGAAATGCTTTTCGCTAGACGATGATTTCGCTAAACAGCAATTTCAGTGGAATGGATTATCATTGTCTAGCGAGGCACCACTGTACTGTAAGAGGATTCCTAATGAAGGGCTGTGTTAACTACTAACGTACCACGCTTGTATCACCCAAAGCTGTGTCACAGGTCTGGGGACTCGGATGCTGTTCGGGGTTACAGCTTCTCACTCGCCTATGGCCATTCTTATGAGCATACCAGAACACATAGCACCTGGGTGGTTGACAAAATTAAAGAAAAGGCAAGAAGGAAATCTTTGTAGCCTGTCTGAAGAGGTAGATTTGGACCTATGAAAATTAACAAGGAAATAAATCTTTGAATAGCAAAAATGAAATTTGAACAGCAAAGAAAGGTAAGGGGGAGAATCACTCATTTAAAATGCTGTGTCACGAGACAGTTTCATGGATACCATGAACAAGAGAGACAAATAAATGGGTTGTAGATCTAATCGCGTCTGAACTGGAAACTAAAATGACTCAACCGAGGCTATTTTACTTGAAGAATATCATGAAAAAACAAGGCGCACCGGAAAAGGCAGTAAGGCTACTGTGTTTCCTGGAAAATAAGACTGGGTCTTATATTGAATGAATGAATACTTTATTAGGGTCAAAGACCAGTAAAACCAAGTCAATATATCTTATATTAAAGGGGTCTTATATTAATTTTTGCTCCAAAAATGCATTAGGGCTTATTTTCAAGGGATGTTTTATTATTATTTTTTCATGTACAACAATCTAAATTTATTCAAATACATGCAGTCCTGTCATCTTTTTCTGGTTCCTGCACAATAGCGGAGGGCGGAATTTCACTTAAGTGGGGCTTATTTTTGGGGTAGGGCTTATATTACTAGCATCCTGAAACATCCTACTAGGGCTTATTTTCCGGTTAGGTCTTATTTTCTGGGAAACAGGGTAGACGCTGAAGGCAGTAGGTAAAGAGGAAGGCTGGACGTGAGAACCCCTGACATAATAAAGGAAACCACAGCCTTGAGCAGGCAAGACTAGATCAAGCTGCCAGCAGGAAGCACTTTTGGAGGGCTTTTAACGCACGGGGTTGGCCTAAATTGGAAGCAATTTCCCCCTATATAACAAGAGCAATGCTGGAGAGCAGTTTGGCCTCCAATGGGCAATTAAGAGCTGTTAGGGTGGCAAAAGACCTGCTCTTGGTGGGAATGGAAAATGGTCGTGACTAGTTGAAGAGAGCCAGTGTTTGGACTCTCCTGGAGGCAGGTCTCTTATGGGAAGTGTCGCCCAGGAGTGCCTGTCCTGCAAGATGGATCACTTTACCACCAAAAATTAATTAATTAATTGTAATTAATTTTTTTAAATGCGGGTGCAATTAATTCACTGCAGCAAAAGGCTGCAGTCCCGCACAGTAACGTGCTACTTGGGAAGCCTCAGAGGCATCTTTTGCTTCTTGGGCAAGCTGCAGACCAGCGGCTTTCCACGGGCGCGATCCTCCTCCGTGCTTGCTCGTGAGTAAGCCTCACTCCACGCCCGGTGTTACTTTGGAGTAAAGCCTTCAAGGGAGGAAAAAGCCAGAGATCTGCCGCCCTACGACTTAACACCGCCGATGGGGACCGACCGCCCCGTGGCCACGACCACCACCACCACCCCGGCGCCTTGCTCGCAAGGAGACCTTGCCAGGAGCTTGTGCGCGGGACCCTCCCGAGCAAACCACCAGATGCAACCACCCGGTACACAACCTCCTGTTGCTTAACGCAAGAAGCCACACCAGGTTCCTACAAACCCATGAGAACCCATGCAGCTTTGCAAAGGTGTTGCACACTCACCAGATCCTATGGGCCTCCTCTAGTGCAACAGGGGTTTGGCCCTTGGTTGCCTTTGGCTGCCAGGGAAACGCGCGCAACCCCGCCTGATCGCGAGGGATCGCGCCTCTGACAGCCGCCAGAAGGGCCTGATCCTGCCCCCCACGTCATCCCA